AGATGTGAACAGTTTTGATGTCGTCCTACCTGACATCTTTTCTATTTACTTTTTTACTTCGTTTGTATAAATCTTCAATCTTAAGACCGTATTTTGGTAATTATTTTGGATGAGTCGGGAATAAATACGCTTAATACTACAGTCATTAAGTGCCTTCCGAAAGTCTACGAAAATTTGTACCAGTGCTTATAGGATGATAAAATCAGCAAAAATAGCCTAAGTACTATTTCAATTACATAGATTTGGCAAATACTTGGCGATTCTCTAATCTAATAAAATTGTTGTTTTTTTGGACCTATTGTTGATTGAAGCCTCAAACTGAAATACACCTTTTTGAAGTATTTAAATTTGATCAGTTTATTCATAAACGTCATGCTGTTATTCTAGAAAATTTCATTTCCAAATATCAAAAACACTGTTTGTCAGTTTTATCCGAAAACGGTAACTTTCCTATTCACTTTGTAATATATATTTAACTACACTATATTGCACCTATCTTGTTCCCAAGTTTAAATTAGTCTCGAATTAATAGGTTTCTTGGCGGAACTGATATTGCATGTGCTACCACCAACCGATCTCTTTCCCAGCAGCCGCATCGTATCCAGAATATTTAGGATCTCGGTTGGAGTGGAGCACCTACGGCGCAGCTCGTTAGAAGCATCCAGGCCGAACGCCGTTTGATTCGTTTCCAGCTATCCCGTGTTTTCTTGCACAACACATAGTTGTTTAAAGATGAATATTTGAAAGTGTTGGAGTTGTATGATATATATTTGCTTTTTAAAATTTATAAAGTACGAATTTTATATTGATTTGGTCTGTAAAAAAACTGACAATTTGGGAATATTTTTCCGATGGAATAATTATTAAAACGTTTAATGTTCATTCATTCATTTAGTGAAGAAGTGTATGATTTTAGAAAATATTGAATACAATACCTACTTTTATTCTCATCTGTGTTAAGACAATGTGAATTACTGTACCTCTGGTATCTTCTTCCAATTTATCTGCCATGCTTTTCTATAGTTTATTTTTATGAACGAGAGAGTAATTAGCATATTTTTAACTGGTACCTCCGACCACTCCATGGGCGTGCTCAAGATTAATTGAAAAATTACTTTGACTAATTGTAAAAAATAAATGAATTATTTCAGTGTTATAAAGTGTTATGTGTATGTAAACAAAAGTGACCTCTTTTATCACACACTATATTAGAACTGACTGGCCTACATTAAAAAAGATTTTAAAAAATTCACATTTTTTTTTTAATTTTTAAAAATTACAAAAGAGAAAAAGAGTTTTTAAAATAGTCTAAGGTATGTTAAATAGATGAATAAAAATATTAATATAAAACTTACAGCTACTTGTTACAAATCCAAATCAGATTCAGAAGATGAACTTTCAGAACCAAGATTTATAATAACTGGCTCGATCATTTTATCAGTAATATTGTCCAGCTTCCGCATTTTTTCCTCTTCTTTAATAGTGTGATTTACTGCCTTTTCCCAGTTTTCAGGTTTTACATTATTTACGGCCTCCAAAAACAACTGTCTAACATCATGAATTTTAAAAGTGGTATTTTTTCTTGAAACTTCACTCTTTACCTGTGCCCATATCAGTTCAATCAGGTTTAATTCACAATGATATGGTGGGGATCTAAGTACTGTCATTCCACGATTTTTGGCAATTTCATCAATTTCGTATTTTTTAAATTTTTCTTTATGAAGGGCACACAACTAATAAAGTTCCTTTCTTATGGATCCGGGATGGTACGTAATATTTTTTGAACTCAGCCAATTCTGCAAGTCTTTTTTTAAGCACTTGGTTGTTGGCAGTCCTTCTATTCTTCTTCTTCAAGTGCCGTCTCCATCAATGGAGGTTAGCGGTTATGGTGGCAAACGTTTGTCTATCTTCAGCTGCTCTTAAGAGTTCCTCAAATCCAAGTCCTGTCCAGTTTCTGATATTACGTAACCAGGACAATTTTTTTCTTCCAATTCCTCGCTTTCCTTCTATTTTGCCTTTTATTATCAACTGAGGGATGTAGTATTTCTCGTTGCGCAACAAATGCCCTAAATAACTGGTTTTTCTTCTTTTGACTGTTCTCAATAGTTCTTTTTCTAAATTTTCTAAGTCCTTCTATAAGTCTGGAGTGATAACTTGCATTATCCATTACTATTACACAGTTCTTAGGAAGAAGATCTATCATTTGTTCGAACCATTCTTGAAAGACATCAGCGTTCATGTCTTCATGGTAGTCACCGGTAGGAGTTGATTCAAAAGTTAATAAACCACCTTCAACAAAACCGTCTGAACTGCCAATGTGTACTATTATCAGCCTGCGTCCCTTTCCTGATGGTGGGTTTAAACCAGTAGATAAGTTATTTACAAAAGCGTGCCTTTGACTTGTAACAGTTTCATCCTGCCAAAATTTGTTTGGTGTATGACCCTCGTTGATCCATGTTTCATCAAGATAAAATATTTTTCTTTTTTGGTTTCTCATTTCCTTTATGGTTCTTAGAAAATGTCTTCTCCATATGACAATATCGCTTCTTTCTAATAAAATAGACTTTCTGGGATTCTTTTTCCAGCGAAAGCCTATTTCTTTTAAAAGTTTCCATAACGTACTTCGACTCATTTCTGGGTAATCCTTATCATCTCGAACTGAGACAAGAACTTTATCCAATGTTGGAAATTCTTGTCTAAAGAAGAATTCATGCACTTTTCGTCGAAGTCCTTCTTTAAAATGATATTCTATTTGAAATTTTGGTTTCCCTGGAGCATTACGTGGCATTTGAAAACTACCACATTTCTCTTCTTTAATAACTCTGTAAATCGTAGATTTCCCAACACTAAGTGTACTGCTAACTAACTCAACGGTCTCATCAACACTTTCACATAAACGTTTGTCTGTAAATGATTTAAAACAATTGAATATTAATGTTTTTTCATTAACTGTTAAAGGACCAATTTTTCGGCGTTTACACGGCACTTTCAAATTTTCCATAACACTAGTATACACAATAAACTGCACCTTGCAACTGAAGTAAATACTTTTAGTGAACTGTTAAGAATTTTGAATACGCCACTTAGACCTTCCTACAAAATAGAAAAATAGGAAAACCACTATCACATTTTCTGTGGAATAAGTTTAGAAGGTAATTATCTAGTCAATTACTGTCGTAGATTCCTGGAATTAAAGAATTAAATGTTTGATTGTTGAAACCCTTACTTCGTGGAATGCACTCATTTCAGATAAAATAAAACGTTTTATTTTATTTAAAGAATTAAACTTTATTTTGCAAATAGGTAGGTACTTATTAAACTTTTGTTGGTTATATATAACCAATAAAATAAATCATCTTACATTTCTTGCAAATTCATGAGTACCTGTTAACCTCCATCACTCCGACACTGGCAACCTTATTTAGGGATTAGTAACCCTCACAACTATTGTATTCTATTCTGCTCCAACCTTTATACCTGGTGGTCATACTCAATTTAAAATTGTTTTCCTATATACTTCTGTAAACTTGTTGACAAATATCTGTTTTTCATTGAGTCACCCGTATCAACAGTTTAGGGATTTGCATACATAATTTATTGTTTTATTACTCTCTTATACATAAAAATACACTATAGTTGGCTATCGTCATGTTAAAAACCGGTGGGAGTGTCTCTTCGTCGGTAGCTACATGAAACAATTTTTTGACCTGTTCATAGTCTATGTTGCGCAGCCTTGAGAGTTTTAAACTCTCCTGGCTAATAGGAAATATTATCTAAAGAATTTACTTAAATATAATACAGTTCAATTTAAGTTTTTGAAACGCTTACCATAATAAAATTATTTCCATTTCTGAAGTGTATTTGAAGCTTTTCTTACCTGAAACAAATAAATAATATAAAGCATTCCATTTTAAAACGATAAAAGTTCTTTTAGCTTATTAAATAATGATATAACATTTTTCAAAGTAAAAACGTTGCACGTCACAATTTATATAAAGTGATGTCACTTATATTTAAAATTTCCAGAACGTCAACCTTGAAGTTCAAATTTTCCTAACACAGCTTATAATACGAAACCAATACGGAACTGCTCAATCTTTCATAGGCGTCAACATAGTATAATAATCAAAAAATGTAATTATCATTATATTGGAAATTTTAGAATTATATAACCAAAAACATTTGTTATTATTCATAATATAAATTTTATTAAATAACTCTTAAGTCTAATATTCCACAAAATCATAATTTTAAATAAACAGATTAGAAAATTGTACGCAACTGATACGGGAATACTTTAAATTTTAATTACAGTTCAGCGTGTGGCAAAATTGTATAAAGTGTTGCCGCTTTTTTAGAGTAAGAATTTTGTTTATGTTTTGATTTATTAGACAATTTGATAATAATATATTATTAATAAATTGTATTTATAAATACATAATAATTTAGATTAATAGCTTAAAAACTAATTATTGTTGTGTATTGTGATTGTTCTATGTCAAAACAACTAAATAGTCTGTAGGAAGCTGATAAGCTTTCATATAAGATAGATTATTTTGAACAAGAAATAATGGCGGGACGTTTTTATTATTAATGTTCTAAAAGAAGTAAGTTAAAAATTTAGAATATATAATTTTGTATTAAAATGTTTTATTATATATTTTAGTGTATTGCAGTAGTCTTAAAACTAAGTGTATTTACTGTTAATATAATAGTTTGACAAATAGGTGACATTTTAAAAATTCGTCACTTACTAAACTCTGTTTTTTAACCAGGAGGAGTAAACCAAAAAGACAGATTCACACCCACGAAAGTTACTAGAAAAGTCACCAAATACATCTTCTTTTTTTGTTGTATATCTCGGCCTTGCGGTAATCGAGTAATCAATATCGGACAAACTTACACGTCAATTCTAACCTAACTTTATGTTTGAATAATATTTTTTTAATTTACTTCCAATATATATTACAATTATTACAATAAAAATGGACGTTTTTCACATTTGGTCCCATGTATATATATATATATATATATATATATATATATATATATATATATATATATTATATATATATATATATATTATATATATATATTATATATATTTAAATATCGGGTGATCCATTTTTATAGATCATTTGAGTCGATGGTACTTAATTTAGAGAATATTTTGATCCAGAGCGTCAATAATGTTACAGATATAAGTATAGTTTTTCTCATACATTTGTCTTTTAATTTGCAAATAGATCTTATATGCAACAAAGCTATGCAAATGTATCAAAAAGTTAGAGAGAGTTCAAAGATTTCTGAAGTACTGTTCTTTTAAACTGCGTAGACCATATTGTTATTCTGGTGTGATTAATTTCTTGAATCTAGGTTTTTTTTCTTACCAGATGAATTAACTTTGACTTTGATCATTATTTTTAAGCTTAATATTGCAATCTCCTGAATTTCTTCAGCCAGTTTGTTTTACATATTCTTTCCCATTCACTGCCTTAGAATTGACTTTTTCATGTTTCATATCACAGAATAAATTATGGTTCAAATATAGGTGTGGTCCTACTTTTCATGCATGGTAATCAGTTACCTCATTAGATAGATTTAACTTAGGTATCAATATCTTAAGGATCTATTTGAAGCACTAAAATGCAAAACAATAAATTTGTATAAATAAGTGTGTACTTGCAATTTCTTTAATGCTAGATTCTTGTTTAATTTTGACAGAGAGTTTGTCCCATTTGTTATCAATAAATAATATTTACTAAAAAATACTGGATTTCTGTGAGATAATCAACTAATTCAATGTATTATGTTACATTATAGTATAATTTTGTAGTTTTCTTGTGATGATCTACAACAGGAAGAACAAAACCAACTGTATCAATACATTCAAAGTAAAACACAACATTACTAATGTTCTTTTATTGCGATGAAAACAAAATGAAAATGCTTCTTAACAAGTATACACAAATTTAAAAGATAGTTGTCGTTTTTCTTATGATAATTAGATATAAATATCTATAAATTCATAAACACTGTAAACTCTATTTATTATATATATCAGATAGAAAAATATCACATTAAATACTATTATCACATATCACCAAGTCCAAGTTATTACAAAAACAACTTAACGAGTCAGAAATCGATTTATATAATATTTTGTGCATAATATATATTCGGAATGAATGTAAAAATAAAAATTTAATAATTTTATTAGTCTTCCAAAATCTCTCCATTTATGTCTTGGTGAGATTAATGAACAACTACACCATCTTGAATTTCTTGATTTATTTTTTCAGCAAAAACTGAATCTATTTCAGATATTTGAGCAAGAAAGTTTTATTTTTCGTCAGCAGCCCAATGGATAAGCTATTCTTTGAATAATTTCCTCTAAAAAATAACAATGGTAAGACATTCATAATATAGACAAAAAATCAATCATCCTATAAACAGTAAGATAAACAATCTATAGTTATGCTATGTAATATTTGCTGCATTGAATCTGCATATGTAAAGTAAAAGTATCCTTTTTTTCTTTTCTTTCCTTTCCATGATCTTATATTTGTTGAACCAAAATACTTGACAACATTCCAGTAGAGTATACAAATAAAAACTTAGAACTTAATATTTAATAGTAACAATAATATACCTGATTATAAAAATGAAATCTATGAAATGTTTTAGTTAATTTTACTATATAATTGTAGCTAACCCATATTTATTAACCGATATTTGTACTTACTTCAAATTGATTTGCTTAAAGAATGTATATAATCATGAACGACATATATTTTGGAAGTTCAGAGCGGTTGTTAATTTCACTTAAAATTTTACCTAAAGTAAGCATTTCATTCTTGAAAAAGAAGCTGTGTACTATCTGTCGTATTATCGTACTATCGTTTTAACTCTTTCATCCTATGTTGCAAGAATATAAGGTCGACCTTCAATATTTTTAGGACATTTTACTGCTCCAGTCTGCTTATATTCTTTAATTGTTCTAAATTCTATTGTTGTAAATAGTTGAATTCGCAACACCTAAAATTAGCACATTACTTTAGTAAGTCTTGATTTTAATAATAACTATTCGGTAAAACTAACCTGCTGCCTGTTTTATTTTTACTACCGTGGCTGTTATTTTTATTCCAGAATTATCAATTTTTATGTTTGTACATGTTTATAGTACATTATTTCTCATTTGATGATTAATGATCCAAATCTACTCGGCGTTTTTACGGTGGAGAAGAATAATTACCACTAGTACTTGGCATTGAATCCATATTGTTATCTTAATAACACTAATATGTCGCTAAATAGTTCTGAAAAGAACTGTTTTTTATAGAAATGCAAACGAAAAATCTAAAGATGTAAGAAATAACACAGAAAATACAGAAAATTGTCGATATAAATTTTGAATTTTAAAATTTTACAAATGTCATTAGTGTTAATATGTCATAATTTAGTGGAGTAAACTTGCCTGCGCTGCGACCAATTACAAACAAGCATTATGGCGCGGAAAATTTGAATTACTCCTTGTTTAAAAACAGACCATAACTATTCTGATGTTTTGGGAACGCTGTGGGATTCTGAATTCGTAAATCTTGAATGACGTGCAACCATTTTTATAAGAAAAATCCTATATATGGCTAGTGTGGCAGGATCGCGATGTAGTGTCGAGCTCCCGTTGCATTAGCTTAACTGATTTCGGTGTTCACTTTTCCAAAACAAAGACCGATTGTAATTTTTAATTTATTGTATAACCTAACACTTATATTACTTTATTATAAATTAATCCAGGTCCTGTTGCTACTACATCATAAACTGTATCACAGCGATACTAACTAAGAATTATATAATAATTAGTATTTTAGCATAATTTAATGTAAAACAACTATATGTACTATAATATAAACAGATTACTTCATAGTTTATCGGAACCTTTAAGATGGCGATCTTGGCAATATTTTCTCAGTGAGAATAGAACTGTAATGATTCGGATCCAAAAGATGGATAAATTAACTTTTAAGCTAGCTAGGTACCTTACAGAGAATCTTTTTATTTAAACGTTATGTATTAGAACTGGTACTTAGAAGTAACATTTGCAGATGAAAGGCAGATTGCCCTTAAAGACATATAATGCCAAACAGGATCCCCGATTACCATTGAAAAAAATTACGGCAGCTAGTAGAAAAACTAAAGATGATAAAGCTGTAGGACCTGACAAATTTTATCCAGAGTTACTGAAACTTATGGACAAACAAGAAATACAATGGATAACAACTATATTTAACAAGATATATAACTGGAAATATTCCCCAAAGCTAGTTACAGTCGATCTTCGTAATTATACCAAAATAATTAATGCAAAAACTTGCGAAGACTACAGAATTTAGTATAATAAGCCAGTTACTTAAAACGTTTTAAAAAGTGATAATATATAACACAATATATAAAAAATGTGAAAAACAATTGTCATGGACTCAATTTGGATTCCGCGTTATCTTATGCACCCGAGAAGCTTTATTCGCTATACAAGTGCTTATCTAGAGGTGCAGGGATGTTAACTGTGATGTTCTTATATATTTGTTTTTTTCGGCTCCAAAAAGGTATTTGATACAGTAAAATATGACATGAGAGATAAAGAGAGGAAAGAATTTTGGAGTTTGTTGAACGAATACTAGTAAAAGAGACCTGCTCGGATTTTTAGAGAAAGAGTTGCTGGTATGCTAATAGGTTGATACTTTCATTAGCCTAACATAATCAACAAGGGGGAGCTATTTTGGTCGAAAGAAGATATCGTCGTGTGTGAATTAAAAGGTCAGTCAATAATTTTTGTGACAGAATTTTTTTTGTATGTTTCAAATAAAAGACTATACTATCAGAAGAACAAAAATTATCGCTATTTTAAAATACCATAAATTTTATAAAAGTTTTTTTTAACGTCAAAAGATAATTATACCAATATTGCTTAATAAATTTAAAAAGTTTCTTTTTATAATATTTAGAATTTTTTTTGTACAAAAACATATGAACAAAGATTCCAATATTTCAAATTTTTCATAGGAAGTGTAATTAATTTACGAATATCCAAATTTCTTGTTTATGTTGTTTTATCAATGTTATAAAAAACAAACCGATAAATATTTGGTATATTAAAATTATTTATGTGGTACAATTTTCATTGGGACAGTTAACCCATGGAATTTATTTGATAAATTTTCATATTATTTCTTTTGGTAATAAATGATATTTGTATTTGTTTATAATAAACATATATAAAAAAATACAACAACGAGAAAATTATAAAAACTATAGAAGACAACAAAAGCATAAAAGCATTGAGGAGAAAAATGGAAAATGGCAATAAAGAAATCTTCCACATTAAAGACAAAAATGGAAATATTATCTCAGATAGACCAAGCATATTACATATAGTGGAAAGTTTCTATGAAACATTATATAAAACTCAAGTTATTCCAGAGCTCATCGAACAACCAATACAAAAGGTACATAATGTAGGATCGGAGGACATACCAGACATATCACGAGAGGAAATTCAACATGCCCTCAAAAATATGAAAAATAATAGAGCTCCGGGGGAAGATGGTGACATTGAGACAATTAAACTAGGAGGTCCACTTTTAATGTCCCAAATCCAAACACTTTTTAGTCTATGTCTATGGTGAAAACATTCCAAGTAAATGGAAGAATTCGGTTACAATCCTCCTCCACAAAAAAGGGGATAAATCAGATCTCGAAAACTATAGGCCAGTTAGTTTGCTTAACCACCTATACAAGCTCTTTACTCGAATATTGACAAACAGATTATAAGCAAAACTCGATTTCTATCAATCAGAAGAACAGCAGGATTTCGAGCGGGGCACGGAACAAACCACCATTTGCAATGCCTTAAAACTCTAGTTGAAAAGTCTATGGAATATAACAGACCCCTTGCTCATATCTTTGTCGACTTCCACAAAGCATTTGACACAGTCGAAACAGTTGCTATCTTATAAGCACTATCAGAATAGATCACGGGTATGCAAATATTATTCGAAATATATACGAAAATGCGACCGTTAACCTCCATTGCATGACTGAGAAGATAAAAATTGGCAGAGGGGTGCGGCAGGGAGATACCTTGTCGCCAAAACTATTTATAACAGTTATGGAGTACGCATTTAAACGGCTAGAGTGGGAATCAAAGGGTATTCGCATCGATAGAAAGATATTCAATTATCTCAGATATTGCGATGATATTGGTCTCATAACAAACAACTTAGGAGAAGACAGAGTTATGCTACAACAACTACAGCAAGTAACCCAGAAAGTCGGTTTAAAAATAAACTATGAAGAAACAAAAATGATGACCAATCTCGTTCCCAATGAGCTAATAGAAATCGAAAAGTCGCCCTTAGAACTTGTGGAGAAATATGTGTATTTAGGTCACAAAATAAGGTTAACGCAAGATAACCAAACATGCGAGCTACTAAGAAGAATAAGTCTGGGTTGGGCTGCATTCGGAAAAATGAGAGACGTATTTAGAACAAATATGCCGATCCATTTAAAAAGAAAAGCTTTTAACCAGTGCGTTCTACCAGTCCTCAGATACGGAGCAGAAACCTTAACTCTAACAAAAACATCAGCCAAAAAATTGAGGAGGACACAATGAAAGATGGAGAGATCAATGCTTAGAATAAGCTTAAGAAATAAAATAATAAACGAGGAAGTTCGTAGAAGAACGGGAGTGGAAGACATTATCGAACATATTACAAGGCAAAAATTGCAGACCACAGGCTGACAAGCGAAGCCGAGGAAGATTTCCAACGCGATGGACCGACGACCCCAAAAGAATCGTGACCAATTGGATAGCAGAGGCGCAGAACAGAAGCAGATGGAAAAATCTAGAGGAGGCCTATGTTCAACAATGGACAACTCAGGGCTGATTGATGATGATGATGTATTTGTTTATTTATGTTATTTCTATTTAGTTCCTTCTCCTATTTTATCCCCAAAATAAACAACTAGGAAGCCACGAGAAAATAGTAAAACCTAAGCTGATTTATTATTATTTTTTTTATATAAAATGGCACCCTGAGATTGTTTTTTTATGTATGATTTGGGACACTTAGATAATTAATTAAAGTAATCAAATAAATAAAAAGTAAGAAAAAGCAGATCATAGTAATATGTTAAAATTGAATACACTGTGTCCCCTAATAGTAATTGTAGATATGATTCTTCGTTCAAATTTTATTTTAAGGCTGTTGAGTATCTGTTTTGTGGAAAATTCTAGGATTTTCATTAACCTA